ACCTCACCACAGCACGACCACACCCCAGCACGACCACGCCCCAGCACGACCACGTGCCTCCACGACCACGCCCCAGCACGACCACCCCCCAGCACGACTACCCCCCCAGCACGACCACTCCCCAGCACGACCACCCCCCAGCACGACCACACCCCAGCACGACCACTCCCCAGCACGACCACAGCGCCTTGGTTGAGTGGTTGCCTGTCGTCGTGGAATGTTTCGTGGGGTGTCTCGTGGACTGCTTCGCGGGGTGTCTCGTGGAATGTCTCCAGGAAAACGTTGGAAATGGTCGCCTGTGTCTCGTGGAATGTTTCGCGGGGTGTCTCGTGGAAGTTCCCGTCGCCCAATACGGTGTCGTGAACACGTTTCCATGCATGCGGTTCTATATCCCCTTCCGGGTTCGTGGGTCCATCATGTTTTCAGCGAGAGCCACGACTATTTGGACACGAACCTTCTTCCGTGTAACTGCGGGAACATGTTATGACGAATGTGCGCGGCGCTGGGGTGAGGGCCACATTTGAAACGGAGCCGCCCGCCATCCGTGCAAATGTGGAAAATGTTGAAGGCATATGTGCGTGGCGCTGAGGCGAGAGACACATGTTGAGAATGACCCCCTCCATCCGTGTAGATGTTTGAAGCCTTCAGGAAGAATGAGCGCAGCACTGAGGCGAGAGCCACACTAAGCAAACACACTCCCTTTTCATCCGTGTACTTGCTGAAACAATTAAGACGAATGTGCGCGACGGTAAGGCGAGAGCCACATTTTGAAAACGATCCCCCTTCTATCCGTACAACTGCTGGGGGGCTTTTCGGACGAATGTGCGCAGCGTCCAGGCGAGAGCCACATACTGCAAACCACCAATTCTGCTTGAAGATGCTGAGACACATCCGCGGGGCGCTGGGGGCGGGAGCCACGCTTTGGAAGCCACCCCCCTCCGTCCGCGCGACTGCTGGAAGCTTTGAAGACGAGTGTGCGCGGTGCTCATGCGAGCAGAGGGGGGGGAGGGGGGGGGAGGAGGAGGAGGAGGAGGAGGAGGAGGAGGAGGAGGAGGAGGAGGAGGAGGAGACGCGAGCAGCACCAGCACCACCGTCCAGCAACATCGCCGTTGGCGTGGCCTCGGCATCACCGCCTCTCGGCGGGGGTCCGTCCGCCCGCCGCTGCGCGCTGCGTCGGGGCGGCAGACCGCCCCGCCTTCTCTTCCTGCCTCTCTCCCGCGCCGTCGGCCAGGGCGGCGTGCGGGCTCTGGCTTCCCTCCTCTCTTGGCCTCCCCGTCGTTCACCCTTTTTTTGTGGGGGGCAATAGCTGTGCAACGGCACAATGAAACTGTCACGGAATACCTCTTGGAGGTGGTGACCATGTCGAAAAGTCAGAAGAAGAGTTAAGTGCTTGAAGTGCCTCCCCGTCGTTCACCCGTGGTACTCATGTCTTGAAAACTGATTGGGCCATTGCAAGCCGCACGCTTCGCGGCCTATGGGACGTTTGCAAGCTGCAAGCTCCATCCGCACGCCTGTTGGACAACTGCAGGCTTCGCGGCCGTGTACGGGAGCAGGCCGGCCGTCTCAGTCGAGACGCTTGCCCGCCTTGCGGGCACGTCTTGTGGCCACGCGATGTGCGGTTGTTATCACAGGAAAGGGAGGCTGGAGGAGGAGGAGGAGGAGGAGGCAAGGAGGGAGGGAGGGAGCGAGGGAGCGAGGGAGGGAGGGAGCGGAGGAGGAGGAGGAGGCGGAGGAGAAGGAGGAGGAGGAGGAGGGGGAGGAGGAGGAGGAGGAGGAGGAGGAGGAGGAGGAGGAGGAGGAGGAGGAGGAGGGGGAGGAGGGAGGGAGGAGGAGTAGAAAGAGGAGGAGGGAGGGAGGAAAAGGAAGGTATAACAATGAGGATGAGGGCGATGTGAAGGGTGATGGTGAGGTGTGTGGTGTTGATGATCGTGTGTGAGATTATCATTGCTGTCATGGGTATGAGTTATGACGATACTGTCGGCGATGACTGCAATGATTGCGATGGTGGTGGACACGATGGTGAATACAAAGGGTGATGACGGTGACGATGATGACGCTACTGTTGACGCGAGTAATGCTATGGATGATGTTGGCGATGTAGTTGGTGAGGATTGCGGTAAGGATTTGTCGACGATGACGATGAAGATGACGACAATGATGCTAATGCTGATGATGACGAATATGATAATGCTGGTGCGTATAGCGGTGGTGGTGAGGGCAATAATACATATGATGATTGTGGTGCCGATGGTGGTGGTGATGGTGGTGGTGCTGACGATGTCGAGAACGATGCTGAAGACGATGATGATGCTGAGGATGGTGGTGATAAAGATAACGACGATGGCATCACGGTAACAGTTTGTGACGATGAATGCGGTTCTTAATCACGACGGCTATGATGAGCAGGAGACACAGAAGAGGAGGACAAGTAGGAGGAGGAGAGGAGAGAGGCATGGAGCAGGGGGCGAGGACCTGGGAAATGAAGGGAGGAGGGAGGAGGGAGGAGAGAGAAAGGAGGAGAAAGGAGGAGAAAGGAGGAGGGGCAGAAGAGGGAGCCGGGAGCGAGGGGGGGGGGGAGGAGCCGCTGGCCCCCTCTCCCCGTGCGAAGCACGCTGCTTGGGCCCTGGCACTCTCGGGCTCTCTCTGGGAGGGGCCGCCGCCCGGGGCATCCACCCCGCCGCTGCTCCCAGAGGGGCCGCTGGGAGCAGGGAGCCCGGTCCTCCCGAGAGGCCCTCCGAGTTTGGATCCGAGGTCGGATCGGGTTTCTGGAGGCAGGACAGGGGTGAGCATGTTCTTTGGGTGGAGGGCAAAGTGTGAAATCTGAAATGCCGTTTCGTTGGATTTTCGAGGCTTGAATCTGCAAAAGGTGAATCACCAGACGCATTGATTTTCGAGGTGCGCAAACCCATATGGATTTCACACCCAAGAAAATGCTCAGAAGGGGTGGTGTAAAGGGGCGTGGTGCCATTATTGAATCTGGCGATGTAATCTATCGTCGATGATATCACCATGTCCGCCACACCCCTTTCTGCCGCACCCCTCTCCGACGCCCAAAAGTTTGGGTCCGAGGGGCTTCGGCTCGCGGCGTTCGAGGTTCTCGAGGTCCTCGGGGTTCGAGGTTGGAGGGCGTGTTCGTCGGTTCTCAGCGGTTTTCCAGCCTCGGGGTGCCTCTCAGGCGCTGCGCCTCGCCAGGGGCGTGCTGTGGGGCCGGATCGTCCCGAGCGGCCGCTGGAGAGTCGAGATAGGGCCCCCAAACGCCAGACCTCCAACGTCTCAAGAAGTTCGACGCGGAGGTTTTTCTCCGCCATCGGCCTCCAGGGGTCGTCGCTGGGCCCCGGGACCGTCATGACGAGCTGGCACTGGGGAAAAGGTCCAGACCTTGTTCTGGGGTTCCCGCATCGAGAACTTCACGGCATCGGATGTCTGGGTTTATCCATTGGTCCCAAAAGCCTTTCCAAGAACGTGGGCCCAGGCCTGCCCGGGAGGCTTCCATGAACAGTTGTCCGGGTGTCTCAGGGGTGTCGTGGATGAGTGCTTGCGGACGGATTGTCTCACGGCTATGGTCTTGCTTTCCGTAGCAGTATGGGCTCGAGAAAGCAAGTCCACCCTCTCATTCTGTCCACCACGTGGGGCCCGTGCGAGGGGGTGCCGCCGACTTTGCTTAGCCGACATTTTCGGTGGCTGAGTTGGCACCCAGGCAACGTGGTAACCCAGCACGCTGGGGCCATACCCTTGGGATCCGCCGCCTGCTCTGCTAAGAAATTTGCTGTCACGGTTTCCGCCGTTCGCGCGGGGGGCGAGGACCCTAGTCTTTCTTCTGATCGCCTTCCATCTTCTGCATCCTCCACATCATGTTCCGCCTCCTCGTCATTCTTCCTCCACGTATTTTTGCTCGTCTTCCTCCTCGTCTTCCTTCCCTGGAAAGCTTGAGAGAAGCGTTGAGAAACTGGGGACGACATCGGGGACCTTTCAAGTCGCCCCATCTTCCCTCCTCCCAACACCACCTCGACCATCTCCATCCTTCTTATCCTTCCTCCTTGGTCCTCCGTTTTGTAATCATCCCTCCCTTATATCATCCCTCCCCTCATTCATCCTCTCTCTTGGTCTCCCTCCAATGTTCGCCCATCGTTTGCGCACGATCGAAATGATCAGTCGTTGGTTGGGCCCACCCTGTCAGCTGCCAGCATGAATAAGTGCGTCCATCGTTACCCGCATTGGTGAAGGGAATTAGCGTCGCGAATCGGATGATGTGGAGGAGCATGACCATGAGCAAGAGGAAACGGAGCCGCAAGAAGAGGAGGACGATGGAGGCGGAGGAGGAGGAGGAGGAGCAGGAACAGGAGGAGGTGGTGGTGGTGGAGGAGGCGGAGGGAAAGTAGGATGATGATGAGGAGAAGGATAATGGAGAAGGAGAAGGAAGAGGATTTTTAGGAGGAACCTGCTCAGGGTCTTGATTATACACGAGGAAGATAACGGATGCACGTTGAATCGTGAAAAGTCAGGACGATGAGGATGACGAGGAGGAGAAGGAGGAGGAGGAGGAGGAGGAATTGCAGAATTCGTCCCCTCCCCCCCTCCCCCCGTCGCCCTCCTGCCTCCCACCTCCCTCCTCCCCCTTGAGATCCGACGTTGCAAAAGACAATGCAGCATCGCACAACAAAGCACGACCAGAGTCCTGCGCAATGCGTCGAGCGATTGTTGATCGTTCCGCGAGGCGCCTGGGGCCCGCAGCGGGGCGACCAAAAAATCGCCCGTTGTGACAACAAGTGCAGCGCCAGGTTCTTGGGGCCTCTCCAGGTGGGCCGCGCTCCCCAGACATGATCGTGTCGCAAGAAGATCGGGGCCGGAGTTTTGTTCGCTAGTTTCGACTCCTGGAGACCCTCGCCGGGCCCTGGGACCGCCAAACAAGGACTCAGGATGAGAAGAGGGTCCTGGGAAGGGGTCGGGACTTCCGGGGACGCCGTCTTGGGAAACATCAGGACGTCGCATGTCTGGGTCGACATAGGGGTCCCCAGAGGTCTGGACCTGCTCTCCTGGGCCAGCTCTTCCTCCCGAGTCGTTTCCTGCGGGGCCCCAGGCCCGCAGACCGCGCGGAACTTCCGCCTCGAGCTGCTCGAGGCGTGAGGGGTCTGGGCCCCCCCTCCGCAGCCGCTGGAGCCGAAGCTGCCCCCCCCGTCCTCGGCGGGCCGACGGGCCGACCGGCGCGCGGGCTGCCCCCATGGCGGCTTCGGCGGCACGGGGCGACACGGTGCGGATGCAGAAGCTCCTGGAGCTCCTGGAGGCGCTGCGGGGCGTCGATTCGGCTGTGCGCCGGGAGGCGGCGACGGCGCTCGGGGAGCTCGGCGCCGCGGAGGCCGTGCCCCACCTCCTGGAGGCGTTGCGGGGCGGCGCCGGTAGGCATGGGCGCCAGGAGGCGGCTGTGCGCCGGGAGGCGGCGGGGGCGCTCGGGAAGCTCGGCGCCGCGGAGGCCGCGCCCCAGCTCCTGGAGGCGCTGCGGGGCGACGCCGATTCGGATGTGCGCCGGGAGGCGGCGGAGGCGCTCGGGAAGCTCGGCGCCGCGGAGGCCGCGCCCGGGCTCCTGGAGGCGCTGCGGGGCGACGCCAATTGGTCTGTGCGCCAGGCGGCGGCGGCGCTCGGGGAGCTCGGCGCCGCGGAGGCCGCGCCCGGGCTCCTGGAGGCGCTGCGGGGCGACGCCGATTCGGATGTGCGCCGGGAGGCGGCGGAGGCGCTCGGGAAGCTCGGCGCCGCGGAGGCCGCGCCCGGGCTCCTGGAGGCGCTGCGGGGCGACGCCGATCGGTCTGTGCGCCGGGAGGCGGCGGCGGCGCTCGGGGAGCTCGGCGCCGCGGAGGCCGCGCCCGGGCTCCTGGAGGCGCTGCGGGGCGACGCCGATTCGGATGTGCGCCGGGAGGCGGCGGAGGCGCTCGGGAAGCTCGGCGCCGCGGAGGCCGCGCCCGGGCTCCTGGAGGCGCTGCGGGGCGACGCCGATCGGCATGTGCGAAAGAGAGCGGCGAAGGCGCTCGGGAAGCTCGGCGCCGCGGAGGCCGCGCCCGGGCTCCTGAGGGCGCTGCGGGGCGACTGCTGCGATTTTGTGCAGCAAGCGGCGGCGGCGGCGCTCGGGGAGCTCGGCGCCGCGGAGGCCGCGCCCGGGCTCCTGAAGGCGCTGGAGGAGAACGCTGAAGAGGGTGTCCGGGAGGCGGCGGCGATTGCGCTCGGGAAGCTCGGCGCCGCGGAGGCCGCGCCCGGGCTCCTGGAGGCGCTGGGGGACCATCATTTCGATGTGCGCCGGGAGGCGGCGGCGGCGCTCGGGGAGCTCGGCGCCGCGGAGGCCGCGCCCGGGCTCCTGGAGGCGCTGCGGGGCGACGACGATGAGACTGTGCGCTGGGAGGCGGCGATTGCGCTCGGGAAGCTCGGCGCCGCGGAGGCCGCGCCCGGGCTCCTGGAGGCGCTGCGGGGCGACGCCGATTCGGATGTGCGCCGGGAGGCGGCGGCGGCGCTCGTGAAGCTCGACGCCGCGGAGGCCGCGCCCGGGCTCCTGAGGATGCTGGAGGAGGACGTTGATCCGGAGTTTCGCAGAACGGCGGCCAAGGTGCTCGACAGGTTCGACCCCAAGGACCTCGCCTTGCAGCTTGTGCGCACGGTCAGGAACAGGGACATGAGCATCCCTTGGCGCGAGACCGCGGCTTCGGAGCTGGCCAGGCTGGTCACCAAAGATGCCGCTGTGGCGCTGGCGCTGGCCGACGAGCACGCCGACGCGTTGCACGACGCGGCGCAGGAGGAGGAGGTTGGCAAAGTCTTCCGCGACAGCTGCGCCAAGGCTGTGGGTAAGATCGACGCGGCGCACGCGCAGGCGGCCGACGACGCAGCCAGGCACGGCACAGCTGCGCTGCCCATAGATAGACGGGGCGGCGGGGCGGCAAGTCGCGATTGGGCTTTGGCGACGCAATGTTCTGCATTGCCAAGCGTTGCCGTGCATTCGTAAGCTATGCAACAACTTTCTTTTCTTTCTCCAAAAACCAATCGGAGTGCACGCATAACTCAGCATAGCATAGTATGGCGTTGCATCGAACAGCACTGCATCGCATCGCATTTCATAACATATCGTAATTTCGCGTGTCGCAACATAGGATGGTATGTCGCTTCACGCCTTGCAACGCATTGCCGAACACTGCGAGTGGAGAAAACAACGCGCCACAGTGGGCCATCGTTGGACATTTGCATCGGCCCTCGCAATCCCATGGGGACCTGATTACCATATCATGTGTGGGGATTGAATGATGGGCTCGCTGCTGCGCCCTGCAGCTATGCTACGCTGTGCAAATTGTGTCCATTGAGGCAGCGCCCCCCCTCGCGCGATGAAAACGAGAGGAGAATGAGGAGGAGAAGGAGGTAGAGAGAGGAAGAGGAGGAGGAGGAGGAGGAGAAGGAAGGAAAGGATGAGGAGGAGGACGAGAAAGAGATGGGGAGGAGGAGGTGGAAATGAGGACGAGGAGGGGGAGGAGGAGGATTGGAAGGTCTTCAGTAGGAAGATCTTCGCTGAAGATCTTCGCGCTGAGGCCTCAGCGGGGAGCCTCTTGGGTTTGGTCGGGGGTCTTTGGGCCTGCCCTGAGATCCTTTGGGGTTGTCTCGGAGGCAATATTCGGATTCTCTGGCGATTCAGCGGCTAAAAAAAATAAAAACGGAAAGATATGAATTGAAGATCTTCGCGCTGAGCCTCAAAGAGTGGGAATCCCCACTGTAGATTTCCATGCTGAGGCTGAGGCTCCCAGCGTAAAGATCTTCAGTGCAGATCTTTCTTGCTGGGGGCCTCTCTGGTCGTGCTGGGGGCCTTTGGAACTGCTGAGGAACGTTTTGGGTGGTCTCTTGGAAACATTTTTGGGATGTCTTGGGTGATCTTGGAGGCCCCGGCACACCTCCAGCGTGGAGTTCTCCGCTGTAGATCGCTGTGCCGAGGCCTCCAGCGTGAAGATCTTCACTGAAGATCTTCGCGCGGGGATCCTATTGGGCTTGGTCGGGGGCCTCTGGGCCTGTCCTGGGAGCCTTTTGGGCTGTCTTGGAAGCCATATTGGGCTTCTCTGGCGACCTGGAGGCCCGAAGAGGTCCCCAGCGTGAACACTTTCACTGAAGATCTTCGCGCTGAGGCCCCAAGCGTGAAGATCTTCACTGAAGATCTTCGCGCGAGGAGCTGTACCTGTACTGTGACCCTTAGGGCTTTGTCTTGGAGGCCATACTGGGGTTCTCTGGCGATCTGGAAGCCCGACAATATCCCGAGCGTGAAGATCTTAACTGAAGATCCTCGCGCTCAAGGCCTCAAGCGAATATATACCCCCACTACCGATTTCCAAGCCGAGGCCCCCCAGCTTAAAGGTCTTCAATGTAGATCTTCCTGCTGTGGACCTTTCGGGCCGTGCTGGGGGCCTCTGCATGGGAGCCTTTTGGGTCGTCTTGGAGGTCATGTTGGGCCGTCTTGGGCGATCTGGGTGCCCGGGGAGACCCCCAGCGTGGAGATCTCCGTTGCAGACCTCCGCGCCGAGGTTCCAGCGTGAAGATCTTCTCTGAAGATCTTGGGTCAACAGCCACGTGCGTGAGAAGCCATGCAATGTGGTACAATGTTGTATCAACCATTGCCATGCGCGCATGTGGGAGAATATTCATAGACATGCGTGTGCTACGTGAAGAATTCGAGCGTACATGCTTTGATGGGGGTTTGGGCGTCTTGGGATGCATCTCGTTCACAGTTAGTACGCGCGCGCAATCGCCCAGTTGCAATCAGACAAGCTACCGTACTCTGTCTGAGCGGGAATGAAGGGGGGACCAAGAGAGGGAGGAGGATGAGAGAAGGGGTTGGGGAAGGAGGAAAAGCAGGAAAAAAGGTAGGATATGACATAGAGGAAGATGACGAGGAGAAGGAGGAGGAGGAGGAGGGGAAGGAGGAATAGGGAGATGAGTGAGGGGAGGAGCATGATGAGGAGGACAAGGACGGGGGGGGCAGGGAAGAGAAGGTAGGGGGAGGGGGGGAGAAAGGGAGGAGGAAGGACGAGGGGAAGGATGAAGAGTTTTGGGAGGCGGATGACGAGAGGAAAGCGAAGGAGGGGTGGTAATGAGGAGGCGGGGGATGAGGAGAGGAGAAAAGGAAGCGAGGAGGAGGACACGGAGGAGGAGGACTCGCGGCGTGCGCCAAAATCAAAGCAGCTTATCGAAGTGGGATGGCTGGAGCTGTGCAATAGGCGGTTCGAGCCCGAACGCATCAGTCTTCATGTTCTGGGATTCGGACGTTCCCAGAGGAGGAGGAGAAGGAGGAGAAGCAGGAGGGCGCGAAGGGTTCGATGAGCTCGCAGTTCTCTGGAGAATTGTTCGAAGGCCTTCAGGGAGCGCTCTCGTCGGTGCGGCTTGACGCAGTTGGTACAACTTGATTCGACCCTTTTGAAATTATATGGTTGGGATCGGTTGCGTTGCCCCATCGTCGACGACGACGGCGACGACGGCACCGGCAACGCCAGCGGCGACGGCGGTGACGGTGACGGCGGCGGCAGCCGTGGCATCGACTGCGGCTGCGATTGCCATGACAAAGAAGACGAACGCGACGACGACGACGACAACCGCGACGACGGCGTCAACGGTGGCTGGCAGTCGGTCGTCATTCGTCACCGTCGTCATCAAGTCGTGGACGTGGGTCGTGGACACCGTCGTCGTCCGTCGTCACATTCCGCGCCCGTCGCGGTCGTCGCCGTTGTCGAAGTTTTGTTTCGTCACTGTCGTCGTCACATGGAGCTAATGTTTGAGCGACGGTTTCCATGACGCGCGACATGATGTTTGCATTCACGGAGTTGCTGATCTCCGCTTGCTGTGCATCCACCAGGGAGTCTCAGGTGGCGAACCTTTCCTTCCACCCTTCTCACTCTTCTATGGTGACCTCCCACTGCCGCCGCCACGCTTCGGGGCGATGGTTAAGTAAAGGTCTGATCGAGAGAACGGTGGGTGCAATCTGCCAGAGCAGAACAACCTAAAGCCAAATACGCGTGCTTATGAAATGGGGGGAAGCCAGGACGACGCCATCCTCATGAGCAGCCTTGGCGGCTAACGCGATGCACCGGGAAGCCCGAGCCTGTGCGTAGCGAAAGGGTAAATCACCCTATCGCTACGCACAGTCGGGGACGTCCCCGACTGTGCGAAGGGGGCTTCTTTTCATTTAGGAGCCTGTGCGTAGCGATATGGTAAATCACTCTGTCGCTACGCACAGGCTCCTAAATGAAAAGAGGCCCCCTTCGCACGCTCGGGGGCGTCCCCGACTGCGCGTAGCGATAGGGTGATTTACCCTATCGCCACACACAGGCTCGCCATTTTTTGGGGAAGTGCATTGTTCCAGCGCCGCCCCTCTAGTCAGCTCAGGGACGTCCCCGACTGGAGAGCGATCGACCGAGAGTTCACATGCCACGCTCTTAGGTTGAAGTGGAAGCTGGGGCTGGCACGGTGAATCGATGATGTTTGCATGAGGTTTTGGGAGGAAGCAAAGGAGGCGCTGGCGTTCGGATGTCTGTCGACGTCGACGCGCAGTTCGAGCGCCACCCAGATCTTGATAGTTCGGAGTTTGTCCACGAGGATGCTAGACAGAGCGACAACCCTTGAATACGAAAGAATGCGACGCTGACTCTTGAGCTCCGTGCTACGACGACGATGGCGAGGACTACTTCGACGACAACTGCGACGATCGCGACGAGCGCGACGGGTGCGGAGTGCCACGACGGACGACGACGGCGCCCACGACTCTCGACCACGACTTCGCGACGACGGTGACTGGTGACAATCGCCCGCCGGCCGCCGTTGACGCCGTCGTCGCCGCCGCCATCGTCGTCGTCGTCGCGTTCGTTTTCTTTGTCATGACAATCGCCGCCGTCGTCGACGCCACCGCTGCGGCCGCCATCGCCGTCACCGCCGTCGCCGCCGGCGTTGCCGGCGCCGTCGTCGCCATCGTCGTCGACGACGGGGCCGCGCAACCGATCCCAACCAAAAAATTCCCAAGGGGTGCGGTCCAATGAAGTTTTCCCAGTTGCGTCAATCCGCAGCGACGAGAACGCTTCCTGAAAGCCCTCGAACAATTCTCCAAATAACCGCGGGTTCATCCAACCATCCGTGCCTTCGTCCTTCTCCTCCTCCTCTCCTCTGGGAACGTCCGAATCCCAGAGCATATAATCTGGTATGTTCGGACTTGAACCACCCATTGTACGTCTGAAGCTACCTCGCTTTGATTTGGGCGCCCGCCGCGAGCCTTCCTCCCCCTCCGTCCCTTCCTCACCTCCTCTCCTCATCCTCCGCCTCCTCATCACCATCCCTCCTCTCCTCGGTATCCGCCTCCGCTTCATCCTCCCCCTCGTTTCTCCCCTTCCTCCTCCTCCTCCACCTCCGCCCCCCCCCATCCCCCCGCGTTTTTGTTCCCTCCTTCCCCCGCGTCCTTGCTCCCTTCATCATGTAATCGTTTCGCTCAGTCCGCCGGCCCATAATGTCGCACCGTGGTCGCCTGTCCGAGTGGTCGCTTGCAGTGTGGAGCTGCGGCGTCGGGAGCTGTGTAGCGTTGGGGGCGTTCTTGGGGCCCTCTTGGGTCGTCTTGGAGGCCTCTGGGGCCGTCTTGGAGCCGTCTTGGGCCGTCTTGGGGCCCTCTTGGGGGCCTCTTGGGCCCTCTTGGGGCGATCTTGGAGGCTTCTTGAGCCGTTTAGGGGCGTCGGAAACGCCCAAATCTGTCCAACACCAAAGGAAAAACACAGGTTGTTGCCTCTTGGGGCCCTCTTGGGAGTTTTCTTGGAGGCCTCTCGGGGCATCTTGGAGGTTTTTTGGCCCATCTTGGAGACGTCTTGGGCCGTCCGGAGGCCATTTTGGGGCGTCGTGGAGCGATCTTCGGGCGTCTAGGACCTCTCTTGGACCGTGTTGGGGGCGTTTTTCTTGGGGGCCTCTTGGGCCGTCTTGGGGCGACCTTGGAGGCCTCTTGAGCCATTTAGGGGCGTCGGGGAACCGAAAAGGTTAAACGCCCAAATCTGTCCAACACCAAGGGAAACAAACACAGGTTTTTGCCTCTTGGGGCCCTCTTGGGAGTTCTCTTGGAGGCCTCTTGGGGCATCTTGGAGGTTTCTTGGCCCATCTTGGAGACGTCTTGGGCCGTCCGGAGGCCATCTTGAGCGTCGTGGAGCGATTTTCGGGCGTCTCGGACCTCTCTTGGACCGTGTTGGGGGCGTTCTCGGGGCCCTCTTGGGCCGTCTCGGAGGCCTCTGGGGCCGTCTTGGGCCGCCTTGGGGCCCTTTTGAGGGCCTTTTGGGCCCTCTTGGGGCGATCTTGGAGGCCTCTTGAGCCGTTTAGGGGCGTCGGGGAACCGAAAAGGTTAAAACGCCCAAATCTGTCCAAAACCTAAGAAAAAAAACACTGATGTTTGCCTCTTGGGGCCCTCTTGGGAGTGCTCCTGGAGGTCTCTTGGGGCATCTTGGAGGCTTGTTGGGTCATCTTGGAGACATTTTGGGCCGTCTGGGGGCCATCTTGGGCGCCGTGGAGCGATCTTCGGGCGTCTCGGACCTCTCTTGGATTGTGTTGGGGGCCTCTTGGGGCCCTCTTGGGGCGATCCTGGAGGATCTGGGGGAGTGTCCCGGGCTCCGCCCGGGGTACTTTTGATCCAGGGGCCCCAGGGGCCGCCCCGCGCGCGCGAACTAGAAATACTGTTTACCAGTTACCGGAGATCTTAGCACGCCTCTGGCCCGTTGGGCCGGCGAATTATCCTCCCCTCCCTCCTCCCCAATTCATCCTTCTCCTCTTCCTCTTCCTCCCCTCCTCCTCCCCTCCTCTTCTTCCTCCGTTTCACCCCCTACCGGCCCCTCCTCCACCTTCCCCCACCCCTCCTCTCATCCTCCTCCCTCTCCAAGTTCCCCCGTCCAATCCCCCTCAGACAGAGTACGGTAGTTTGTCTTATTGCACTTGGATGTTCGCGTGCGCGTGCGCACGCACTGTGAACGCGATGCGCCCCGAGACTCCCAAATACCCATCAAAGCGGACATCAAAGCATGTACATCCAAATCCTTCACGTAGCACGCGCATGCTATGTTCACATATGCGCTCATGGCGATGGTTGATACATACTTGTGCCAAATTGTATGGCTTCTGACGCACGTGGATGATTGCCCGGGAGATCATCAGATAATATCTTCACGCTGGACCCGCGGCGCGGCGGTCTACGACGGGGATCTCCACGCTGGGGGTCTCCCATGGCACCCAGATCGCCTAAGACGGCCTAAGATTGCCTCCGCGACGACCCCAAAGGCTCCCAGGCCAAGGCCCCCAGCACGGCCCGAGAGGCCCCCAGCATATCTAAATTGGAGATCTCTACGCTGGGGGCCTCGGCTTTGACATCTACAGCGGGGATTTTCACGCTTGGGGCCTCAGCGCGAAGATCTTCAGTTGAGATTTTCACGCTCGGGATACTTTCGGACTTCCAGGTCGCCAGAGTCATCCAATATGGCCTCCAAGACAACCCCAAAGGCTTCCAGGATTGCCAGAGGCTCCTCGCGCGAAAATATTGAGTGAAGGCCTTCGCGCTTGAGGCCTCAGCGCGAAGATCTTCGGTCCAAATCTTCACGCTGGGCACTTTTTGGGGCCTCCAGATCGCCAAGAAACCAAATGTGGCTTCCATGACCAATTCAAGAGGCCCCAGTCCCAAAGGCACCCGACCAAGCCCAAGTGAATCCCCGCGCAAAGATCTTCAGTAATTCGAAAATCTTACAGCTGGAGGCCTCGGCACGGCGATCTACAGCGGAGACCTCCACGCTGGGGATGTTCCAGAGCCCCCTCAACCGCCCAAGCCGGCCCAAATTTTCCTCCAAGAGACCGCCCGCAAGGTTCATTCCCAAAGGCCCCCCGACACGACACCAGAGGGCCCCAGCAGAAATATCTACATTAAGAATATTGATGCGGGGGGGCTGCTTTTGGAATTTAAGAGGCGATCATTACCCTCTGATCCTCAGCGCGAAGATCTGAAGTGATCTTCCTCCCCACTGTTTTTTCGAGCCGCCAGATTTCCAAAGAAACCCAATACGGCCTCCAAGACAATGCAGAGAGCTCACAGGATTGGCCCACACGCCCCCGACTAAGCCCAACACGCTCCCCGCGCGAAGATCTTCACGTTTTCACGCTTGGGGCCTTAGCGCGAAGCTCTTCAGCGAAGATCTTCCCAATTGGAACACAATCCTTTTCCTCTCCCTCCTCATTTCCACCACCTCCTCCTCCTCCTCTTCCCTTTCTCGTTATTCTGCTCCTTCTCCTCCTCATCCTCTCTACCGTTTCCTCCTCCTCATTATCCTCCCCTTGTCCTCGCGCGAGGGGGGGCGATGCCTCATTGGGCCGAATCTGCACAGCGTAGCATAGTTGGAGGGCGAAGCAGCGAAGCCATCACACAGCCATGAAGATATTGGAGTCAGGTCCCTATGTGGCTGCGGAGGCCGATGCAAATTTCCAACGACGGTCCACCGTGGTGCATTGTTAAGATATTATGCTAGTGGCCAGCAATGCGTTGCATGGCATGAAGTGGTATACGATCCGATACTATGACTATGACGTGCTATGCATTGTTATGCTATGATATGAGGTGAAGCGCTATGCGGTACTATGATGTTCCATGCTATGGTATGCTATGCGTGCGCGATGATAAACAATTTTGCTGCTTTGTATAGCATACGCATGCATGGTAACGCTTGGCCATGCAGAACAAACTGCGTAACACTACCCCACCGAAGACGTATCGCGACTCTCCGCCCCGCCGCCCCGTTTATGGGCAGCGCAGACAGACGCAGCACAGGGCTTCCACTTCTGGTTCATGAGCCGCCGGGAGTTCCTGGCACTGCCTGAGGACAGGCCAATGCCCCGCCACCAGACCCTGAGGGATCAGGGCAAGTTGGTGCGCATCTTCATGACCGACGCAGACGTCCTGTCTGGAGCGGCGAGGACAAAGGCTGCAGTCAGCCATCGCTGGGTCAGGCATTGGCACATTGACCCGGACTGCACCAAGCTGAAGAAACTGAAGACGATTCTGCGCGAGAGCCCGGACATCACCCACGTCTGGATCGACTGGGCGTGCATTCCGCAGAAATGGAAGGACGACGCCACGGAAGGGCGCAAAACATTCGTGGAGCAGGAGGAATTCAACAGGACTTTGGCGAACGTCCTCCCATATCCGTAATGGCTTCGCCCCCTGCCGCCGGCCCCCTCTCTCGGAGAATGGGCCATGGAAGAGCTAAGTCATGAGGCTTTGGCGCTGTCGTGCAGCAGTATCGGAACTTCATGCGGGGCCGATTCGCAATCGGCAAAACCAACTGATCACAAGAGGGGTTACCACACAGGGCGATTGGTAAGACGTGTATGGTTTACGAGCTTGGTTACCACACCTTGGGATTAAAGGGCCGAGGGAGTACTCGCAGTTTGGGTTACCACGCCTTGCGATGGATGTGCGTGAGGGGTGGCACCGAATTTCAGAAATGTGGCAAATCCCCTGTGTTTTTGGACCCTGACCCCGCGGATCTGCGTGAGGGGTGGCACCGAATTTCAGAAATGTGGCAAATCCCCTGTGTTTTTGGACCCTGACCCCGCGGATCTGCGTGAGGGGTGGCACCGAATTTCAGAAATGTGGCAAATCCCTTGTGTTTTTGGACCCTGACCCCGCGGATCTGCGTGAGGGGTGGCACCGAATTTCAGAAATGTGGCAAATCCCCTGTGTTTTTGGACCCTGACCCCGCGGATCTGCGTGAGGGGTGGCACCGAATTTCAGAAATGTGGCAAATCCCATGTGTTTTTGGACCGTGACCCCGCGGATCTGCGTGAGGGGTGGCACCGAATTTCAGAAATGTGGCAAATCCCCCTGTGGGACCGTGACCCCGCGGATCTGCGTGATTTAAGAAATGTGCAAATCCCATGTGTTTTTGGACCCTCTGACAGAAATGTGGCAAATCCCCTATGTTTTTGAACCCTGACCCCGCGGATCTGCGTGAGGGGTGGCACCGAATTTCAGAAATGTGGCAAATCCCATGTGTTTTTGGACCGTGACCCCGCGGATCTGCGTGAGGGGTGGCACCGAATTTCAGAAATGTGGCAAATCCCATGTGTTTTTGGACCCTGACCCCGCGGATCTGCGTGAGGGGTGGCACCGAATTTCAGAAATGTGGCAAATCCCATGTGTTTTTGGACCCTGACCCCGCGGATCTGCGTGAGGGGTGGCGATTTCGAGCCCCCCCAGCAATTCAGACAACGCGCCCAGGTGAGCTAAAAATTCTGTTTGGGCCTCCCCCCCCCTCGCGCGGTCAATCAACTAGTTACAGTAACCAGCAAGAAATCAACTAGTTACAGTAACCAGCAAGAAGCAGAACTGTAACACTGGAAATTCTTTACGCTTCGCGCATCCCCACCAGCCCATCTCACAACAGCAACTCTTGCGAAGCGTGCCGACAGTTGTGTTTTTCAGGCGTGTGTCCGCTTGGCGCCGCATACCCCCCCTGTTCCTCCTTCTTCCCGCCTCCGACGACGACGTCGACGACGACGACGGCGACGACGAAGGCGGCGGTGCGGGCCCTCGTTGTGTGAGTCCTTCGGCCCCGTCGTCTTTTGTGTGAGTCTTTCGGGACCCTATTCCTGGTGTGAGTCGTTCGGTATCCTCGTTGTGTGAGTCGTTCGGGCCCTTCCTCCTGGTGTGAGTCGTTCGGGTTGGTCGTGTTGTGAGTCGTTCGGGCTCCTCGTGGTGTGAGTCGTTCGGGCGTCTCGTCCTGGTGTGAGTCGTCGGGGCCCCTCGTCCTGGTGTGAGTCGTTCGGGTTCCTCGTGGTGTGAGTCGTTCGGGCCTGTCGTCCTGGTGCGAGTCGGTCGTGCTTCTCGTGGTGTGCGGCGTTTGGGCACCTCGTCCGCGTGCGAGTCGTTTGGGCCCTTCGTCGTAGGAGTCGTAGTAGTAGTAGTAGTAGTAGTAGTAGTAGTAGTAGTAGTAGTAGTAGTAGTAGTAGTAGTAGTAGTAGTAGTAGTAGTAGTAGTAGTAGTAGTAGTAGTAGTAGTAGTAGTAGTAGTAGTAGTAGTAGTAGTAGTAGTAGTGGTGGTAGGTGGTGGTGGTGGTGGTGGTGGTAGTCGTAGTCGTAGTGTAGTCGTAAGTCGTAGTCGTAGTCGTAGTAGTAGTAGTAGTAGTAGTAGTAGTAGTAGTAGTAGTAGTAGAGCAGTAGTAGTAGTAGTAGCTGTAGTAGTAGTAGTAGTAGTAGTAGTAGTAGTAGTAGTAGTAGTAGTAGTAGTAGTAGTAGTCGTAGTATAGTAGTAGTAGTAGTAGTAGTAGTAGTAGTAGTAGTAGTAGTAGTAGTAGTAGTAGTAGTAGTAGTCGTCGTAGTCGTAGTCGTAGTAGTAGTAGAAGTAGTGGTAGTAGTAGGAGTAGTAGCAGTAGAAGTAGTAGTGGGAGTAGTAACAGTAGGAGTCGTCGTAGTAGTCGTAGTAGTCGTTGTCGTAATGGACTCAGGGCGGCCGTCGTCGAAAGCAGCGATCTTTCCCGACCAGTGTTGTTGTCGTTGCCACTCTGGCTTCTAGTATTGGAGTGTGGCTGTGAGCTTCGCTCCGCTTACCCGTAACGCACGCGCCTGCTGTGTTTTTTGGCACGAGGTGGCTTGTGTGCGCAAATGCCGCACGTAGCCCAGCATTTCTACGAGATCTCCATTTTTGCATCTGATGTGAGTAATATTCTTCTCTATTCGCCCCGCGTTCGTGTCAGCAGGTCGTCGTGGCTGTTAGCGCTCGGTGACATGCAGGCACGGCGGTCAGCGCGAGATGTCTCGGAGACGCGCCACTTTCGAGATTTGATCCGCAGGATCCATCGTCACTGCGACATCACATCATGGATTCCCCTTCACACCTATACACGCATGTATTCAATACAGAAGCACGCATACATCAAAGGCGGTCCGACACACATCAAGAACGCACAGAAAGACATGCACAGAAGTTCAACGTTGCCCTGTGCCTCTTCCCAAGAGAGTACGAGTGGTGCGCCAGTTTTCCTGCGGATGTTGAGTAGGCACATGTGGAGGTCTGGGAGTCGTCGTTCCAAGTGTCGTCTGCCGCACTCGCGCGCAGGTGACGCGTGGAGCGCTACGGAACGCGTGGGCTGAAGTGGTTCGCTTTGCCTTCTGGAAAGACGGGACACAGTCGATTTAGGTAGAACGCTCTTCGTAGTCGTGCAGGAGTACAGTGCGCGGAGAGGTCTTGCAGGTATGCACAAGCTCGAGGCCCTCAACATGACTGTCGGCGTATCCCGTCTCGTTCCATGTAGTGGATCGAGGCTTATCGTGCCTCCGGGTGTCCAGGGGCCTGGGGTCTAGTTCTCTGGCGTTGCAGGTGTTCCAGTTGTCAGGATATAGTATTATACACGGTTGTCCTTGGTGCAGTTCCAGGTAACTTTCAAGTTTCCCACAGGGTGAGTCGATCGGGTGTCTCGCGGCGTGAGCAGCTCGGGCTTCTGGGGCTAGTGGGAGTCGGTCCGGCCTTTCCGTGTGTGTGAGACGTTCGTTCCGCTCTTCGTCGTCTTCCTCTTTTTCTTTCTCGGAGTTCGTGTCGTGCGGTCACGCAGGTTTTGACCTGCGTGGTTGGGGCCATTGCCGAAGGCTAAGGAGCGCCCAGGAGTGCCCCAGCGTTGTCGTCGCTGTTGCCACTTTGGCTCGTAGCATTGCAGTTGGGCTGTGAGCGTAGCTCCGCCCATGAGCACAAGCCTCTTTTTCCTGGTTTCCTTGCTGTCGGCACGGGGAGGTGCTGGTACGCCCTGATATTTTGGCTTGCAGAAGGGGTACTTTGGAGCGAGAAGGGCGAGGAGTCGGTGATCATGCCTCCTTTTTGTGGCAAGTTCCGATCGTCGCCGTACTGCCGTCGCCCAGCATACATGGCGGAGTGCGCGCCGCCAGAGGTAGTTCTGCACATAATCCAGAACGCCGTCAGAGCTCTAGTGATCACGAAGAAGCCGATGCGGGATGGCAGCGGTGACCTCAATTGCACGAGGAAGCTCGTCGCTCAGGTAGGCGCGAGTTTGTATTTCCATGTGTGCAGCATGAACCTGTTCACCGACCAAGACGCCCGTTGGCGCGTAGACTTTGTCGGCGACGTTGCAACTGTGAAGCATCGCATGGCGGGGATGATAAGTACGCTGGCGTGTCGAACATGGGCACCCAGGGCAATGCGCGCAGCGCAGGTTTTTGAGGTTCTGTCATTGCTCAATTTCACGTGAGCCCACTTACTTGGAAGCAGCTTATCGGAGCGGATCGCTCTATGTCGGCACGGCAGCGACGAGAAATGAGCATGCTATTCGCATCAGGCGCAGTGGACCATGAGCAGTCCCTCCTCTTCGGCGGCATCGTGCTTACCCGCAAGAGCGTGCACTGAAGGATTTGGTGTATTTCGCTGTGACGATGGCGCATCTCTCGTGCAACAATTCGGCAGGTTTGTTTGGTATTCCGCGTGGATGCTTTGGGTGACGTGGCCAAGCCGAGTTCTAGGCGCTAGTTCTCTCTGGAATGGATGACAGGGTCACCCAGTCCGACCAGATAATCATCTCGTTCGCGTCTCTGCAACATCTGTGCGAAGCAGATTGGCATTTTTTTTTTTTTTCTCTTTTCCGGCGGGTACGTTTAGAATGCCAGGCGGTCTGCCGCGTTGGTGGTGCGTAGCAGTGGCGATGCTCGGGGGCCCCGACGGCGGCGGCATGGAAACGTCGAAAGCGGCGACGACGACCACGACCACGGTAGCGACGACGACGATGACCGCTCGACGACGTCGACGACGACGATGACGACGACGACCACGACCACGACGACGACGCTGTCGCCGAAGACCACAACGATGACGTCGACGACGACGATTCGTCCAGGACGTCGTGGAGACAACGACGACGACGACTACAACGTGAACGCGAATGGCGACGCTTTCGACGCCGACGCCATTTCGACGACAGGGGCAGCACTCCTGGTAGCGCTTTCCGTCTGGAGAGCGAGCGGAACACCCGCGGCCTTCCTTTTTGCGTCTCGATGCGGCAGGGTTGCTGAGGCAGGTGAGATCGGCCATGATCCGCGCGGGCTCGCCGTTGTCTCTCAGGATGATGTTTCACTCCTGGCCCCCCTGGCCTCGCCTTCGTGTCAGCGTCGTTGTTGCGTTGACCGTCCGAGGGCATGCAAGCGCGGCTGTCACCGCGGAAGGTTCCGGGGACGCGTCACTGACGAGCCTTTTTATGCATCTTCTCGCCCGCTTGCCCAATACATGCACGCACAAACAAGGAAAACGAACGCGCAGAACAGTCCACTCATCCACAATAGCAGCACAACAGAAACACCCGACAGAGTTGGAACCGTTCGTCTCGACGCAGAGGGCGGTCGCTGGAGCGCTCGCCAGGCCTGGGACTAAACTGTCGATGTTCTGTATACTGCGTTCGCGCGCACTAGGCTCGTCGTGCGTTCCGCACCGTGCTGGCTGAACTGCACCCGCCCTGTCGTTGCAGAGTAAGATAGGGAGAAGAGGAGAAGAGAAAGGGGAAAAATAGTTCG